AAAAAAAAAAAAAAAAAAAAAAAAAAAAATTTAGAAATGAAAATTGTAATACCAATTGTGAAATAAAACTCCGGTAAATTTTCCAAATTAGATTAACTTGTGCGACTATAAACTTATCAAATATTAATTAAATGCAGCGGTACTATTTTTTTTATTTGTGACACAAAAATAATTTATTTCTGTATTTTCTTAAAATTACAATGTCAGCCGCTATGAAAAATGCCGGCTGAGACTACCCAGCGTAACCTGAAAAAAATGTCACGAAATGGCGTGACGAGTATAGGATTTTGTTACTAAAAAAAATTAAAATTAGGGTGTGACGGCTGTGACGCCGGTGATGAAAATATCACGTGATTTTCGTGACATTTTTTTTCAGAAAATCACTGCTGGAGAGCTGCGGCTGAAAACATTAAATTTCGTTATCTACTATTATATATATATATACTAAAAGAAAAAAAGATAATATACTATATAATAATTGATTTTAATGGTCTGTAATCATAAAATGATGTTATTTTCTGTTTTTAAAAACTCCGGTCCTTGAGTTATGAATGTTTATGAATGTCTGACCCCAAAAATAGAATTAAGATGAGTTCAGATTAGATTTTTCCCACATTTCATAATTTTTCTATAGTAAGATATGCGGTTTCCTGTTAATATGATCGGACAAAGAAACCTATTGAACCATATATACAAAAATTTATAAATGATCGCGCAGACTTTAAAGTATCATTTAATTAGTAATAAAATGATCTGTAACGTCAAATCACCTGATTTTATCATAATTTGATGTTCATCAAAAAAAGTAAAAAAGTGATTATTGTTGTGCATAATCAACATAAAATCGACATAAAAGGTTAAAGAAGCACATTAACATGAAAGCTGTATAATACTGGATAATAAACTATTTTTTGGCAATTAAATAATTATTAGGACATTCAATTTATGTGATTGATGATAGTGTTAACGTCAGTTCTTTAGTTGCTTAAAATATTAAGCAGTAAGTTTAATTAAAAATGTATTAAGCAGAAGGATCGGAGAGGTCAGGAATTAAGATGATTAACGTAAATCTTATACAAAACAATCAATTCTAACAAATCCGACCAGATGCGAATAAAGTATAGCTTCCCAATTAGCCTATACGATCAGACGCAAATGAAGGATTTACAAACAATCAAAAACAAACAATAAGAAATAAGAAATAAAGTGTATAAGACATAATTCAAGGACAAGGTGTATATTTAGAATATAGACTTTATTATCATCATTAAACTTTAGGACTTTTTGACCCTTAATACATGGCATGAGTGCGCGCTTTATTCAACCTTGCAAATATGATCTATTTATAATAAAATTTACACTAATTACAATATATTGAATATATACTATATACAGTATGTACTATATAAAATATATAAAATATATAAAATATATAAAATATATATACTATATGAAATATATATACTATATGAAATATATAAACTATATGGAATATATAAACTATATGAATTATATTTAATATATTACATTTATCCACTATGTTGCATATATTCGACATTCGCAACATAGATCGTCATCATGTGATCATGAACTTATTCTTGTGTAACAATAGATTTAAAAAAATTAGCGTGTTTCGATCGAAATTCGATTAAATTTAATTTATCACAAGAAGTGGATTAATTTTGATCGATTAACGCTACTCAATTTTAATCGAGCATTGATTCGAACCAATCAATGATTGAGTATGATCAGCTCCTTAGTTAATGAAATGTGTAAAACACTGTATATTAATAATATAAGAAAATTGTAAATTCACAATGGACGAATAAATGGGGAGAGGGCTTCAAATGAAACATCAAGACGAGCTAATTGGTGAAGAAAGTACATATAAAAAATGAATAGATTCAAGGTGCCAACGCAATCAACATCTAAGGACAAATTTGTTGACGCACAATCTGATTCTCTATTATGACCGTTTGACCGATCTAACCACTGACCACTTTCGCAATATTTTTGGTTAAAAAAAAGTTTGCAAAAACTTTTTTATTAAATTTAAATTTTTATTTCTATTTAAAAACGTTGTGAAACATTTTTTTTTATTAGATTACGTTTTCACAACATTTTTTTGTTAAATCAATTTGCAAAACCTTTTTTTTTTATGAAATACTGAATAAAAAACGTTTTCGCAACGTTTTCTATTAAAATAATTAAAAAAACATTTGCAAAACATTTTTTTATTAAATTTCATATTAAAAGACGTTTTGCAAATGTTTTCAGGATCGGTTAAATGGTCAGTCAAACGGTCAGTCAGAGGCCTTTGACCGACCAATATCGGTCATGGTCATGACCGGTCATAACCAGTTAATGACCGTGACCGTTGCCATCCCTATTCCCTATCAACAATACTGAGGTCCAAAGAAGAACATGAAGAGCTCGATCTTTTGAATAATAATTTTAGCGAAAGATTAGATGAAGTCAATAAAATATATGCTTGTTAGAAGAGAAAAGAAAATCAACCAAGGAGAGAGATTCAAAAAAGAAGATTGAAGACGAAGACGAGATCAACAAAAATAAAAAGCGACTAGTTACAACGCAAGGACAAAGGGAAGATTCCGTTAAGGAATAAATAAATTTGTCCCTTTTTTAAATTTTTACAAATTTAAGAAATTTTCTTGGGCTGGCTCTTGGATTGGACAGAAAATTCGTCGGACATATCGACATATGAAAGCGTCTTATGCTGGGATTTTCAGTATTTCCGTTAAAAAGTGTTAGAGTTTTTTTTCTTAATGTATAAAATTTTATTATTTTTGTTTAATTTTGTTTTTTTTCTTAGAATAGTTTAAAAAGTTTTATTATAGTAAAAGTCTCTAAAAACAGAAAATATAGAAAATCTGAAAAACATATTAAAATTTAGTTTAGTAGCGTAGTTTAAACAATAATTTTTAGATCAGACATAAAATAGTTAGATCTGAAGCTTAGTCTAGATATACTTTAGTTATAGAGGGTAATTTAATTTATTTATTTTACTTTCTAGGTATTTTAACATTTTGTAATCAAGATGCTTTTATCGATTACTTAATTAATAAACGCGTTACTAATTTTTTTTTTTTTAAAAAAAAATAATAATAATATAAGAAAATTAATAATAAAAGAAGCGAATAATTATTATTTATTTAGATTTTAAAATTACCTAATTACCTGCTGTCCGAAAAATTTTTACATCATTATCAATTTTTCTTCTTTTGAACGACCATTGTCCATCATGGATAAAAATCCATTGTTTGGTTCAATTTCATGTGATGATTTTATTTTTATTTTTATTTTTAAAAACCACGTGAACTAGATTACAGAAAGATAGACAAGAACAAAAGATAAAACAAATGTCGAACGCTATCTAATACTAAGCTATAATCAAACCGCCCGAGGACAGCGCCACTCTGGTACCTTTAACGCACTTGGAGGAGTCCCTAACACGACATCACATCCGAATAAACCAAAGAAAAGGCTTTAGAACTAAGTTATACGTGGTCTAAGTGAATCGAAAATCCTATACCGAACTAAACCTTCGTTTAGAGAATACGGGGTATGGAGGTCCTCTGGTCGAAGAGTCGAATAAAGGTGCCACCTATATGATCGAGTCCAAAGGTATTTGGTAAGTGACTCAGTGGCAACCGTATGATTGTATAAAAGGTGTAAAAAGCGCAGTATTAATTCCAATAACCAACGCTGTAAGGAATAAAAAGTATCCTTAAAAATTTTTTCTTTTTTTGTGTAATCACGTGGTTGTTTTTGCCAAACCATTGGAAGGTAATGTTCCACGCGGTAGGTCATCTTGATATGGGAAGTTAGAGTTCGTGTACCGTGAAATTTAATTGGTGTTGGTTTGATTTTGTGTTTCTTGAAATGCACATTACATGCAGCCATAAAAGGTAAGTTGTCGCGTTTAGCACGTGACCATGCGAACGCCAAAGCGTCGAAGGCATGTTGGTCAAAGTTTCGAACGAAAGTGTCTTCTATCCAAAGTTCTAGGTGACGTGAAGAGACCCTATATAAAGAAGTCTTCTTTTTCCTGGGAATATTCTCAGGGTTAAGTAGCCGTTGTTGAAGTTTATAAAGGTTGTGTTTAAATAAGCCCGTTTCTCTAAAGGAAGGAAAGCCAAAAAGTATTTTGCCGTAGTTGGGAGCGTCGAGTATAAGCGGAAAGGCCGAGGGTTCCAGGACCATAGTTGTGAGTAGAGTGTAGTAAAGTGTAGTAAAGTTCTTTAACCACTAACCGCCGAGTCCAAAAAGGACCCACCTCCTACCCTATCTAGAGCAGAAAGGTATTTAGTGTTTTTGAATACTGCGGAATAATAAATTCCAGACGGAAAGAGGGAAGAGTTTTTTTTTTTATTTCATGTGATGATCAACAATAGTCAGCCAATAAATTGCAAACTGCCGATCTCACGTGATATAAGAAATTACGCGGACGAAAAAAAGAAACTTTATTTTTGATTCGGGTGGGTTCTCCCTCAGGGATTACTCACTGATTCCGGTTTGGACAACCAAGGCGACGCCGTCTTCGTGACAGTTTGGCTTATAGCTTGATGGAATTACTTTCGGCTCTAGTATAGTGTCCTTGTAATTTGTACTGTAGCTTAGTTCACGTTGAAAATAAAAATAAAAATAAAAGAAAACTTTATTTTTCATCAATTTACATTTACAATAAATAAAAAATTTTGCAGACTAACCACCAATAAAAATTATGAAAAATAGATAATTAATTATCACTCTCTTAAAAATTAATAGCCAACTTCCCGCGATTCAATTTGAACAATCATTGATTTTCAGAAAGAGAAAATGACGCTCTTTCTAGCAACTATAAAATTATAAATATCAGATGCAAAAGTATATTCACTTCCAACAATAACTTCGGGTGCTATGTAAGGAAGATTTCCATATATACTTGTTGAAGATTTATCAGCAGGTCCACAAAATCCAAGATCACTAATATACCAGGAATCATTAAGTTGTGAATATAATATATTTCCAGAATGCAAATCTCTATGAATTGCTTTCTCATCATGAATATAATAAAGTGCAAGAATTATATAATAATAAATAATTTTCATTCTATCTTTCCATGTAAGTTGATTATGATTTTGTTGTAAATATTTTCTTAAATCTATATCCATTTTATTCATTACAAGCATATAATTTCCATTTGATGGATTTTGCGTTAAACCAAAACATTGAACAACACACATCCATTTATTACTTATAGTTATATGTGATTTAGCCTAAAAGATAATAATTTGTAAAAATACTAGTGTTAATACAAAAAATTACAACAATTTTATAAAATATAGAATACAATAATACAAACCTCTTCAAACCAACTTTGATTTGCACTTTCAACATTTTCTAACGTTTTAAGTACTACTTTCATCCTTATGTTTTGTATTCCAGGTCTTTCAATTCTTTTTAATTGTTTTTTTACAGAATCCCATTCATCATAATCTCCATTAATCCAATCTGCTGTATAAATTTCAGAAAATCCACCTTTTGTTAAATATTTAATATCTTCTAAATTACTATATGGGATCCATTCAACTATATTATTCGGAATGAGTGATTCCATTTGACATGTCTGTATTAAATTATCAATATCATCATTTCCAGATGTCCAATTTGAAAAAATCTTCTTTTAAATAATTTCGAACACAATATTCACAATATAATGTGGCTAAACATTCCTGTTTACAATTTTCACAAATTCTTTTTGTACCATCATTATCCATAACTCTATCTCGATCATAATCTTTAGTTAACCATCTTATTGCATAAGTTTTTTCATCATTTGTAAGAATTTTATCAGCAAGGACTGTTTGTTTTTTAAATTCAAATTCTTTGTGTATATCATTGTAAATATTAACATCTGTTAATGTCATTGCTCTATTAATTGTTGCACCTATCAATTCATATCTTGAGTGGACATAATGTAATCAATAAGAAAGAGAGAATGAATAAATTATTTTAAGTTCATTCACTTGATAAATTAATAAAAATGCAAATTGCTGATCAAAATTTTATGTTGACCCACATAAATTTTGTGACCTTAAGGCGAATGAGGTGTAATATTTTACGCCTCATAACCAAAAAAAAGAAATAAAATTAATAATTTACTTTTTTTTTCAGCAAATACAATTTGTGTTTAAAAAACCTGATTGTCATACTTATTCAATAGATAAGTATCCTTGATTATATTATTAATGTTCAAATAATTTGATAAACAAAAATCAATGATTGTTATTCAATGAACTATTAATTTGTAATAATTTGTAGTTATTTTTAAATCTCACTTAAAAATCAATAAACATGATTGATGAAAAGTCAATTTTCTTTAGTTATTTTTCAGTTGAATTTATTTTGAATAAACAACGTGGTGAATAATGAAAACGAAAGATTATAAGAAACCATTCAATTTGTTATTTCTAAGAGAAGAATTTTTGTAGAATTATAATCATTTTCTTTATTACTTTCTTTTTTAAGGATCACAAATATAGGTTAGAATGAAATTTATGGTTTAAAAAAAAAAATAGAATTGGATAAATGAAAGAAATTATTACGCCATAATGTACTTAAAACAATTTAGTGTAATAATAAATTAGGAATAGATCAGGCGCAGTATGTCATGGGTTTTCATGTTACACAATTCAAATTATTTATATGGGAGACTATTAAATAAAATAACAGATAAATTTTTTGAGAAATTTCTACATCAAGTAATTGATTCATTCAGAAAATTTTACAAAATTAATTTATTGTTGAAAAAGGTGTTTAATTGAAAAATCTTAAAATATTAATAATTTTTGGTAAAACAGAAATCGGTGGAATATGTAAATATGTATAGTTTATGAATCGTAAAAATTGAGTTGGAGATTTTTCATAGGAGAACTCTTTCCACCGATCATCATGTCCAAAAATTTTAGGACGGAACAAAAGGTGGAAGAGTTCAAAAAAGTATGTAGAGTTTACATTTTTAACGCATTTCAATATCACGAACTGTTTATTCACTCCTTTACGACACGTAGATATAAAATTTTCACGTTAGTTTAATAATAATAGTTTGAAATCTTTCTTTCCAAAAAAAGTTATCTCGACTCCAAAGGTTTAGGACTACAAAAAAGACGACTATTTAGCTTATTTTGATGATTTTTTGCTCTTTGGTTTTTTCGTTGCTTCGATCGGCGCAGCAAAAATTCAGCAAAAAAACTTTCCGTTTTCCGCATAAATCTGATGACAAATAACCGCAGCAATTATCATGAGAAATATTTCAACACTTTTGAATTTTGAGATACGGACCGTTATTCTTATGGTGGTCTGAATTTAATTTTCGAGGGAAGAAGACTTTTACATGATTTCATGTAAAAAATATTCAAAAGAAAAATATAAAGTCTCTTTTAGTTTAATTAGAAGATTGTGATGGTGGAAATTGAAACCAAACATACGACCTGTAAATTTTTTGGAATTTGGATCCAGTAAAGAGTTATTAGATCTGTGGACGAGAGAGGAATCTTTGCCCATTTTCGATTATTCTCTCAGAGGATTTAGATTTCAGAAAATTTTCTACCCTCGGGTTTTTTTTGGATTATTGGATTCTTGTACGACGTTCGGAACTGCTGACTTGTACGGCCTGGTTGTACTTACCTAATAGTATTTCTGGAGACTGTTTAGGGTTCTAATGGTTCAAGGAATTGAAGGATTGGTAACTTTAATGTTGGAAGAAAAAAAGAATTATTACGCTATAACAAATGCATACTAGCATAGGAAGCAGAGGTCTGGCACGTTGAAGCTCGTGGTTGTATTTGATGTGAGGTGCTATCGTTGAGGGATGCGAAAATTGGTGTAAAACAAAATTTTTTCTTTTTTCTCCTTTCTCTTCAATGGTTTGTAGTTAATTTATCTTCGTTAATTTTTGTTTACCTATAATATAGTAGTGGTCCTTATGTTCCTATGTAATTATGGTCCCTGTATAATTATTAGGCAAATAGTTAATAAAGAAATGCGTTACTAATTATTAATAAAAAAGAAAAAATCCATGACAGTAAAATGCAGAAATTTATCCCTATAAAAAAAGAAAATTCGGAATTTGTCTTGAAAAGTATGGAAAATGTCCGGAAATTTTCCGTGCGTCCGGAAAACATTCGGAAACGGTCACGTTTTGGAACATTTTCCGGACGCTCGATTCTGGACGAATTCTGGACAAATTCTGGAGTGTCAAGAAAATGTCTGGAATTTGTGCGTCCGGAAAGTGTTCCAAAACGTGACCGTTTCCGAATGTTTTCCGGATGCATGGAAAATTTCCGGACATTTTCCATACTTTTCAGGACAAATTCCGAATTTTCTTTTTTTATAGGGTATGTTAACCTTTATATGTCAGTTAAGCTTGCAATTGATGTTAAAAGAGAGTCAAACATTATATAACTGGTAGTGACTGTTACTTTGCACCAGATTATTATTTTTTAATCAATATACATAATTAAATTTACGTAATAAAAAATAAAAAATGCTATTATCAATGAACATATAGATCATTTTAGTGAAAAAAGTATAAACAACGACTATGTGTTGAATTAACTTTTATTCCAAAATCAATTTATTTGATATGAAAAAATGATGGTTTATATAATAAAAATGATAAATAATTATCTTTCTTGTATTATGTGCAACACATACATGATGTATTATATACATTTTATCAATAAAAGTTTACGCTAAAGCGTAAGATTCTTATCTAATACACAAAATATAAATTATATATAGAAATGATAGAAAAAAACTAATTAAATAAAAAACCAGTAATTAAAAAATTTTTTATTTTTTCGGGTTTGAAAAGAAGACCAAAAATAGAAAAAAATAATTAAAAAAGATAACCGGATAGCCTCGGCAACACGATCTACTGCGGCTGACCACATCCCCGGTTGATCAAGCCTTCGTTAAATGAAAATGGATTAGCCAAAAAAATCTTCACGAGCCAACTAACTATAATAAACATGAATAGATCAGGCGCAGATATATCATGTGTTTCATGTTACATGACAATATATAAATAAGACTTTTTTTTGAGATAAACGTGTTAAAAAATTTTTAATAAATATAACTTTAAGAAACATATTTTATGTGTATTTCGTCCGTTCCTTGAAGTTTCAAATTTGGTTTTGAATGTCAATTTTGACTTATTTTAACAAAATTTTCTTTTTCTGTTTTTAAATTTAATTCTGCTCAACGTTGAAATCGTTGAATGATCGGCCTAGAAATTTATAAACCCGTGTACACCTCCTATACGAATGGAAATCTAAAATTTTATTTTTATAATAATTACCAAAATGAATTTTGCAATACGAATAATTTACTGTATATTAGTAGGCTGTTTTCTGAACAAATTTATTGTCTTACAAAAGACTAAAAAATTGAAAGTAAATAAAAATTTTAACTAAGAATAAATACAGTAGAACGATAAAAATTGCGTTCTATATCAAAAAATTTTTGATTTCGAGTTTTTTCCTAGTTGATTATTTGTATGCCCCTGTTCAAATATTT